CAGACTGAGCGGACAGGAAGTCAGAGCGTTAGTGAGCGACAGGAAGTCAGAGCGTTAGAGAGCGACAGGAAGTCAGAGCGTTAGTGAGCGACAGGAAGTCAGAGCGTTAGAGAGCGACAGGAAGTCAGAGCGTTAGTGAGCGACAGACTGAGCGGACAGGAAGTCAGAGCGTTAGAGAACGACAGGAAGTCAGAGCGACAGGAAGTCAGAGCGTTAGAGAACGGCAGAATGAGCGGACAGGAAGTCAGAGCGTTAGAGAGCGACAGGAAGTCAGAGCGTTAGAGAGCGACAGGAAGTCAGAGGGTTAGAGAGCGACAGGAAGACAGAGCGTTAGAGAACGGCAGACTGAGCGGACAAGAAGTCAGAGCGTTAGAGAGCGACAGGAAGTCAGAGCGTTAGAGAACGGCAGACTGAGCGGACAGGAAGTCAGAGCGTTAGAGAACGACAGGAAGTCAGAGCGTTAGAGAGCGACAGGAAGTCAGAGCGACAGGAAGTCAGAGCGTTAGAGAACGGCAGACTGAGCGGACAGGAAGTCAGAGTGTTAGAGAACGACAGGAATTCAGAGCGTTAGTGAGCGACAGGAAGTCAGAGCGACAGGAAGTCAGAGTGTTAGAGAACGACAGGAAGTCAGAGCGTTAGTGAGAGGATGATGGAGGTGTGGAGCTTCAGACCTGAGAAGATGGGCAGCGTGAGCTCGGGATAGGTCCGGGCGAGTTCCTCTGACAGCTGGTAGTAGGAGACGGAGTAGAGGTGAGGCAGCGGGGAGGGGGGGGTCAGGATGCCGTCGCCTCTCTGGATCTCCAGTTTGTGGGCGTACCGGAAGAGCTTCGGCTCCAGGATCTGTCACGACATCATTCATTAATTACAGATAAAAGCGTTAGGATCCCATGAGAGCGATCTGGTTGAAAGGAAAAGTTAAGTACTTCTTAAACTGCTGTGACTATGTACACCTTTTAGGATAATGTTGCTACTGCCCAATTGTTTTTATTTTATTTAATGTCTTTTTTTTATTATATATATTTCAATTTTATTTTTTTAAAATTATGTCCTGGCTTTTTTTTGCCTTTCACATTTTTGATGCAAGTTTGAGTAAGCTATGTCCTGTCTTTTACATAATGTATGTTGTTTAAAAGAATGAAAAGTGTATAAACTAGGGCTGTCAAACGATTAACATTTTTTAATCAGATTAATCACAGCTTAAAAATTAATTAATCAGATTAATCACCATTCGAACTATGTCCAAAATATGCCATTTCTTTATGTATATTGTTGTGGGAATGGAAAGATAAATGAAAGAAGGCGGATATATCCATTTAACATACAGTATGTTTATTATAACATTGTTCAGTGTGTCAAAATGAAAGACAGCCCACACACCTATCAATCATCAAACCGTGGGGTCTTATTTCATTACGCGTTGATTTCTATCAACACGTAATGTTGTATCGATGTATATAGAGATGTACTACAGCAAAAGTATTCTCCGTCGGGACTTCCTGCAACAACACCACGCCGTTATCTTGATTCTGATTGGCCAGAAGACATTATCAAAGATGTTCTATTGAGAAGACGATCACTACGTGACAAACATTTTCAAAACCGTTTCTAGTCTTCGGTATTTCCAGACAAGTGGCTGCTGAAATCAATCTTACTAACTGCTGTCTGTGCAATTTACTCGGCGCGAGTTGGCGGACTTTATTTTGCTTACTTTAACATCATTTTTCATGGTGGGGTTAAGGTGGGGCTAAGCCATTTCTTGGTATGGGTGTAACCTATCCCAGCGCTGCCACTGGTGGGATGTATGGTGCGGGCCATTCTGCACATGCGTTAAATGCGTTAAATATTTTAGCCCAATTAATTCAAAAAAATGATTACCACCGTTAACGCGATCATTTTGAAAAAATTATTTAAAAAAAGGGAATTTTGAAAAAGTCGGAATTCTGAGAAAAAAGTTAAAAATAAAGAAAAAGTTCTGAATTCTGAGGAAAAAGTGAATTTTGGAAAAAAATGCTGAATTGTAAGAAGATTAAAAAAAAAATGAAAAAGTCAGAATTCTGAGAAAGTAAACTATGAGAAAAAAAGGTTTTGCCCGGGACTCAAACAGTTACAGAGTAGTAATCTTCAGCAGCCGAGCACAGATAAGCATCTACCTAATCCGTCAGAAATTCAAAGACTTCTCTGAGTAAGATGGGTTTTCGGTTGTTGCCTCGTTGAAAACAGATGTAAGCTCAACTGACAACTTGAGTGACAGCACAAAGCAGTACGAAGCGTTCTTTGAAAAAGCACAGCGCAAAGGAGTCTCCGCGATGACTGCCCTGATGTGATTGCACTTTGATCTCGCTGGCAAAGGGACTGCAGTTGTTGTTTTCCCTGTGATTGTTGATGTCTCAGTGATTGCACTTCATCTGAAAAACATAATGTTTATATACATTTCCTTTTAGCTTTGTATTTTACTCACAGAAGGCAGCCGTGTTCTGACAAGAGGGGAAATGTTTGAACTGGGCAAAGTTTAGCCGGGAACCGTTGTAACACCTTCAGAAAACATGCAAACTTTGACTACTGCTCGTTTTGTTTTTCTACTCCATGTATCCTTGTTCAGGCTTTTCAATATGTGTGCAACAGGACTGGCTATCTTTAGCTAGCTGCACAAACAGCTCCTTGCCCCTAGCATAATGAATCTGCTGAACATTAGTTTTATCACTAGCCTAATACTTATCTCTTGTGGGCCACGGTTCTGTTCCTCTAATTGTCTGGAACAATTTCCTGCTGTGCACTTACACATGTCTCCTTGTTCCTCTCCCCCTCTCCAGAGGTTAGAGATGTCTGTGAGATAGGATATGAAAAAGAGAACCTGCATTTATATGAGGCTTGTCGGTGCACATCCTCAAATAATTGTGCTACTAGAAATAATTGAATTGTATCCTAGGGAGATTTCAACAAGTCCTCCAACCTGATACGAATGTACATATCGCATGAAATGGAACATGTCCTAATTTAGCAAATCTTTAGCAAATATCTGTTGTAAAATATATAAGCTTGTAATTTTTTGGGGAAGGACATTTGTGGAGTTTATCACCAATGATGCACTGAATCAATATGGCAAACAAAATATATGTAAATACTAATAACAAAGGCTTAAAGATAACTTTGTCTCATGATAACAAAAACCCAACAGTGATATATATACATTATATTTATTTAGGATGCTTTAATGTTCAAAAAGCTCTGTATTTTTCTCATACTGCCTGTGCTGCAGCACGTCTTTTCACCCTTTGTCTGAAACCAGAGCCCAGTCTGCTCTGATTGGTTGGCTGGCCTGCTCTGTTGTGATTGGTCAACCGCTTCCAGATGTCCTGCCCCTTAGACTATCACGTACAATGTGATGGAGTCCATAGATGAGAGCAGCGCTACGTCATTTCCTAAAAAGCTGTGTGTGAGAGAAACTCCCTCTGGAGGTAACACAGGGATTTGAGTCTTTGCTGTCTTACATGTACAGAAACCTGTAGAACACACTACAGAGAGGGAAACCCCTAAACTCATAAAAGGGCCCCTTTATAAATGATAATAAATAACTGAGTAATACAAAGACCCAGCATTTTCATTAATAACCAGCTCTTAATAAGTGAAGGTGAATAGTCATAATGAAAGTCAAGTGTATAATAGAGCATTCAGGAATGTTTAACCTTCCATCTGTGTGTGTTCAGCTTGATGTGTGAGAAGAGGATCTTCGAGGTGATCAACACCTCGCAGCATCCGTTCCTGGTGAACCTGTTCGGCTGCTTCCAGACTGCAGAGCATGTGTGCTTTGTCATGGCCTACTGCCCCGGAGGAGACCTGATGACACACATCCACGCCAGCATCTTCACAGAGAAGCAGGCGCGGTGAGCACACACACTCCTATCAGGGACCAAGGCCCAAATACAGGACGGAGCGTCTATTAATAACTGTCTCTTTTAGGTTTTATTCTTCCTGTGTGCTGCTCGGCCTGGAGTTTCTACACCAAAACAAAATAGTTTACAGGTAAGTCCTTCTCTGGCTGCTTCAGGAAACTTCTACATTGTTCCTAGTGGCACTTCAGAAGCGTGTGTGTGTGTGTGTCCTTCAGGGATCTAAAGCTGGATAACCTGCTGATGGATGCAGATGGTTTTGTCAGGATAGCAGACTTTGGTTTGTGCAAAGAAGGTGAGAACATTATTATGCTCCAGTAAAAGTCAAACTCATTCTCTTATGTCATGTAAACGTTTTTCCTACAGCACAAGGCAATAAGTCCGCAGTGTATCCGTATCATAGTTGGAACAGAAGTGTAGAGGACAGGATTGTGTGTGCAGGCTTGAAGTGTGAACACATTGTTTTGTTTCAGTCTCCTTATTTAAGTGTGTGTGTGTGTGTGTGTGTGTGTGTGTGTGTGTGTGTGTGTGTGTGTGTGTGTGTGTGTGTGTGTGTGTGTGTGTGTAGGTATGGGCCACGGGGATCGCACCACAACATTCTGCGGCACACCAGAGTTTCTTGCCCCAGAGGTACTGACAGACAACAACTACACCCGCAGTGTGGACTGGTGGGGGCTGGGGGTCCTCATCTATGAGATGCTGGTGGGGGAGGTTAGTACAGACCTCCAACAATCAGCAAACTGAAGGATGCGATGCAAAGCAGGAAACTGTTCAGGGCTCAGGATATTGCAAATGAACAAGAAATCCTCTTCAGGTCAGACCTCTTTGCCCACATGCAGCATAACAACTAATATAACAACTCAAGGGACACGAGAAGGTGAAATGGGTATTATAATAATAATAAAAGAAATAATGATCCCTCTCGGTAAAAGAAAGGAAGACCTAGGACAAAATGAATAAATATAATCAAATAAGAAAGCTTATTTAAAAAAGAAAAAAGGCAAGCTGCAGGTAGAACCACAACTACATATTGAAAATGGATTCAGAAATCACGAGTTCTGAACTGTGGACACTGGAATGAAGAAAGGAGGGATCTCTTTGCTGACAGAACAAGAACAGCGACCATGAACTATTTCAATGTGTTTATGAACATGTGATTATTGTTTTAAGACGGACTGGTCAAATGTGACCCTCTCCTTTTAATATACAGGAAGTGCAGCAGCGTTTGCCAAGATCTGTAGACTGCTTTTAAATGTGTGTCCTGTGTTTAGCTCCGGTAGACTCACAGTAACTCAGGTGATCCACCACTTCATCTGCTCTCTGTTCCCCAGTCTCCTTTCCCCGGTGACGATGAGGAGGAGGTGTTCGACAGCATCGTCAACGATGACGTGTGCTTCCCCCGCTTCCTCTCCCCTGACGCCGTGTCCCTCATGCAGAAGGTTGGCTTCCTATCACATATTCCCTTCAGTTTCCTCCTGGTGTGAGCACTGTGTGTGCTGACGGTTCTCTCTGCTCTCTCTCTGACTTCCAGCTGCTGCAGAAAGCTCCTGAGATGAGACTTGGAGGGGGAGAGGGAGACGCCTCGGAGATCAAAAGACACAAGTTCTTTCAGGTGAGGATCCAGGAGCTGCTGACCTCCTCACTCTGAAACTCCTTCTCCTCTTCCTTTACAAAACATGTCTCTGGGCAGCTGCTCTTTAGCCCCAACTGCAGACCAACAGCTGTCTCCAGTTCCAAGCAGGAACAGTTGATTCACTTGGTGGGGGGAAACTTAGGACCTTTTTGAGAAAGCTATTGGACCTGTGGTCAAAGAGTTGGTTAGTTTGTCATCAGATCACATGGGTTATGAAACGTGATGCATGGAACCCTACAACAACAGCACTCCTGATGGAACTAAAAGCTCTGAGGGAAGTTGGAACAGCAGTTTAATGAGAGCTGAAGTCAAAGGATTTTCAAATGAAAGAAATCCATTAGGATGACTTCACATGTATTATCATGAGGATGTCAGCTAAAGCGAGCAGTAGAAGTGAAAACAGAGGGATTCTCAGTTAAAAAAAAGCAAACAGATCAAAGCAGTCAGTGGATGTGTGAGTGCCAGAAGCACTGAAAGTATCATTTGAAGAGATGGAGATCCTCCTCAGCTTTGAAGTGCCGTCCTGAGTGTAGACCTATCATGAAACTGAAACTGTTCACTGCAGATAAACTAAGTTCAAGAATGACATATGGTAGATAGAATCACTTGTAGATGAATCTCAGTCCAGAGATAACAGGAATGTAGAAGTTGAATGGTTGCTGTCAGCTGACTGTGTGTTCTTGGACAGGGGATGGACTGGAGCACTCTGCTGGCCAAGAAGCTGAAGCCCCCCTTCTTGCCGGTCATCAGAGCGCTGAAGGACGTCAGTAACTTTGACGAGGAGTTCACCCGTCTCAAGCCCGTCCTCACCCCCCCACACACCCCCTGCGTCCTCACCGCCGAGCAGCAGGACATCTTTGCTGACTTTGACTTCTCTTCCATGAGTTGACCGAAGACACTGTGCTGCCACATGTTTACAACAACTTTTATTGGCCACAAAGTGCTTCTGATTCATTGGAAGCTGAGAAACTACATTTGTGCCGATTTCCTGTCCGCAGTTCCAGGTGCCATCACTCTGGCTGTCAGTGGCTCCATCCTGCACACGCTGCACAACTCACTCCTGTTCACACCTGCTGAGTTGGATTTCATGATACAGAAATGATTTTTTAACATGTTTTGTCTCTGCCAAATTCATTTTGAACTGATCATGCTGACTATTTCTATCATGAAGCGGTAGGATCAGAAGGCTGAGCGTTAACAGTTCACACTTTTTACAAATGAACACTTCTCCAGCCCTCTCAATCCAAAGCACTTAAGTGTTAATGTTTGTGATCTTAATGAAGAGACTTGTCCCTAAAGGCCATTACATTCCATTACACAGCAGTTGACCTTTTGCTGTGTAATGGAAGCATTATACGTCCATCTGTTGTTAACCTTTAATGTGTTGGGATGTCACATCATGAAAATAGCGCATTTGTCAACTGAAGTTCTTTTGCAGATTTCTCCGTCAATATAACTGTCTGTTATTTTTAAAGAATACAATCATAATGAAAATGTTTATATAGAATAAACCAGCCTAAGTGTGAACAATTAGAAGGAAATATAAATGAATAAATATAAGTCTGCTGGAAAACGTTTCATTAAACATTTATTTATCCATGTGTAGATAGTCATTTCAAAGCTATAAAAAACATTGCAATAAAGTATTGCATATCATTCAGAAGTACACAACATGGATTACATGTTAATGAATATAAACCAGAGCTGTCAGTCCATATGGAGGTAATGCATTATCCAACACTACTGCTGTACATTGAACTCAGCATCACAAGTATTGCTGTCTTACAGGTTCCTATTGCACGAGACATAGCATCATGTACTGCTGCTCCACAGTACTCACTCACTCACTCCGTTCAAATAGCCATATACTAGTTTCAAAAGGATGTCCAATATAAAATAGATTGAAATGTTGTCCATTGAAAGTCATTCTGTACATCATGGATTCAATGCTAGGAACAATTCAGCTTCACTTCAAACAAACTGCTTTGAAAATAGAAAGATCAGGTTTGTCTTTAGAAGCAACTGGACCCTGTAGGACCTCTGTGCAGAATACAATGACTCAGCAATTAAAGCAATTGATCACAGAAACAGAAAGAAGATATCTACAATAAAAACAACAACCGTACAAAATGTATTCTCCAATGTGTTGATCAGGATGAGTGCACAGATAGGAATCTGGATAGTCTACACATGCACCTAAAACAAGTATATATTAATCATATGTTTATGCAATATTGGACATGTATTACAAGTAAACTTACAAAATGTTTCACAGTAAGGACACAGTACTCACACAGAATCACACAGTTAGGTACCTGTCTCTGTGGACATGGTACTGTATACTTGAATGGTTGTAAACAATTGTTAAATAAAGGCTGTAGTGCTGGTAACCGGTTGTCCACGCGAGACATCTATCTGTTGACAGCCACTTGGGGGAATGAGGGGGAAACAGGAAAAGTGCTGCAGCGATTATCACTGAGAGGAAACGACAACAGGGAATATAAAAGGTAAACTGCACACATAGAATAGCTGCCAGCACTGTGAACCTAGACATGTTGAGTACCCAAAAGTTTTTTGTTAGAAAATGTATAGTAGGGTCCCCAGCACATAGAAACTGTCAGATGCTAACTTGCATATGTTGGGCAATTTGCACAATTAGCATTAGCTAAAACTTAACAAATGGACTCACAGAGAGTACAAATATGGCCACTTTCTGGTTAAGATTACAATGGTTGATCCTGGAAATGTCAGAAATGGATTCAGCATCCTCAATCGGCCCCAGAACCACTCCAAAATTGCCCAACATATGTAAGTTAGCATCTGGCAGTTTTCTATGTGCTGGGGACTATACATTTCTAACATAAAACTTGGTGTACTCATTTACATTTCCGGGTCCATTATAGGACTCGAAGAGCTGGCAGACAGAGTAACAGGAAGAGTTTGTTCCACAAAGTTGTGGTCACTGTCGGATCCTCAAACCCAAAAGTTGTTCTGTCAGTGTTCATGCTTGCCATGTGTTCCTACACCTGGTCGCTGCCCTCCCTGAAATACACCTGCTCCCACACCACGGTCCCCCACACGCAGTAGAAACCCCACAGATTGTGGAAGGTTCCGCGGTCGAAGGGGTTCTCGTCGGCGCCGCAGTGCTTCAGGTAGGAGATGCGGTGGCGCGACATGAACTCCCAGGTGGTGGTGTTGAGAGACACCAGGTAGAGGTGGGAGCCGAGCAGCAGCAGCACCACGAGAGAGAGCAGAGCCAGCAGCACGGCCACCGCCAGCAGAACCCCGTCAGACCGCAGCCACTGCTGCCAGCTGGGGGCCGCGCTGAAGCCTGTCCTGAGGACACAACAGAGCTGTGTGATTCATCAGACCACAAAGGGTACATTAGGAAGGCCTTTTTGCCCTGCAGTAAATCCAAACAAAAGATCACTTTTGCTGTAAGGCCTCGAGCTCAATGTTTTTTTCTTTCTTTTGACCACAACTTATCTAGACCTACTAGGCTCTTCATCTTGGTTAAAAGTTGGTTCCAGGACCCGGTTCAGTCAGCATTTTTCCTTTTCAAAAATTCATTCATCGCTGTTACATTACGTTACATGTCATTTAGCTGACGCTTTTATCCTGCTGAAAAGTTTGGGAACCCCTGCTCTAGAGGAGATCTGCATGGAGGAATGGTGTGTGAAAACCTTGTGAAGACTTACAGAAAACGTTTGACCTCTTTCATTGCCAACAAAGTGTATATAACAAAGTATTGAAATGAACTTTTGTTATTGACCAAATACTTATTTTCCACCATCATTTGAAAATAAATTCTTTAAAAATCAGACAATGTGATTTTCTGGATTTTTTTTTTCTCATTTTGTCTCTCATAGTTGAGGTATACCTAGGATGAAAATTACAGGCCTCTCATCTTTTTAAGTGGGAGAACTTGCACAATTGGTGGCTGACTATATACTTTTTTGCCCCACTGTATGTGTATATATATGTATATATATATATATATATATATATAGATAGATATATATATATACAGTGGGGCAAAAAAGTATATAAGATCAGACTTTAGATGGAGGGCCCAAACAGAGAGTCCCTGGTTCTCGGCTGCAGACACTGTAATGCATTGTTTGGTTTTCAGTCGAATGATATTCAAAGTTTGAGAAATAACGCTGTTAAAAACGCTGTTTTTTTGTTGTTGTTTTTTAAATCAATGAATGTCAATTGGTATTGTTTTGAAAGAAATCATGATCTCAATAATGACTAGAATGTTTTTTTGAAGGATTTGTGTCCTAATGCAGCAGGCCTAGCAGAATCCTCAGTGTGGAGGGTGGTGTGAGGGTGTGTGCTCACCAGGCGATGTGCACCCCCCACAGCAGCACCAGCAGCTGCACAGCCAGGTAGAGCACGAACCAGCGGTGGTTCCTCTCCCCCACACAGTTCTCGATCCAGGGGCAGTGGTGGTCGTAGCGCCGCACACAGTGCTGACACGTCTGGCAGTGCTTCGACCGCATCGGCTGCTGCTTGGAGTCATTTAGAGGAAACATCATTATTTGAATCAAATGAACATTCATGGCACTTTAAGGTTTAACTTTAGCTGTTCTTCTGTTGTGATGAGTCCGGGGCTGATGACAGTTAACATGATGTCTCTGTTTCACAGTCCTGCCATAGAAAGCTTCTCTAACAGAATATCCAGGGCGCTGCAGAGATCTGTTCCCAGGGTTCAAGTATCCACACCCTCAGAAAACAAACGTGAGGAATAAAGGAGGATTATCTCAGTGTGAGAACAGGAAACACTGCATACGGCAAACAAAACACAGAAGTATATCTGACCTATTCAAAAAGCACCTGGATTATTCTTAGTTGGAATATTTCAAACAGATATAGACCTGGAATAAGGCTCAACATTTCCCTGCCCTTGTATCTGAGGTGTATTTTTTGTTGCATTAAATCAGAAACACTTTCCCCCGTGGTTCTTTATTACATTACATTTAGCTGACGCTTTCCTCCAAAGCAACTTACAATATGTTCTTCAACATCCATCCATGATGAAAGCTTGGGACTAAAGGGAGCAGGATACACAGTAGACCTGCTGTTGATCCCATAGAGCCATAGCATTTGTATTCATTATATTTTAAACAGATTGTCTGCTGTTAAAGCGTCTAAAAACTCAAAGTTAATGCATTTTCTCAAATTTCTTTCAATTCTGTCCAAGTTGATGTGGCTCTAAATGTTATATGGTTAGTTTGGAATAATGACCTCTACATAGGAAGGCATTTCTCTACCGCTTATCATTTAAAAATACATCTCAGTCAGATTAGATTGTTGTTTGTGTGTGTTGGTATTTAAAGACCTGTCAATCATTTGAGAATAATATCAGGTTCAAATCTTTCAACTTGAGTTTGGAAGATGGGTTGTGTTTTAAGTAGCTTGGTTGTTACAGGTTAGAGACTTCGTACAGACATTTCTGACTATTTTATTCTTATAAAAATGTTTGTCTTGTTTGCACTGTTGCACTGTTGAGGAACATGTGACCTACATGTTTAATTCATTGCATAACTACACCGTAGTTGTGTCTAAGACATGACAACAAACCTTTGAATCTTGAATCTCAAAGTCATAGTGAATACCTGTGGCGCTGTGTCATGTGACGCTCTGAGTTCAGGAGGAAGTACAGCTGTGTAACTGTGCTGCCTAGCAACACCTCTGTCATTCTATACCACTCATGTTAAAGTACTGTAGAACCTCAGGTGTCACACGAAGAGCTCCACTGGATGCACAGCACATGACAAATAACTGCCACGTACAGGCCATCAGTCCCACAGGCTCAGAAACAGCTTTTAGATTCAAATTCCTCTACTTCACAAGATGCTCTTCCCCTGATCTCCCTCTGTCTGCCCTTGCTTCACTTCACACACATCATCCAGTACATCCATACATTAACAACGGAGCAATGATAGCTAACGTCTGTGAGATGTGGTTGAAAGCCCCAGAAAAGGTTAGTAAGTGGCCCTTCAGTTGAATGTTTTAGTTGTCAAACCACTTTTCCCCCCAAGTCCAGACCTCACCTTCACACTCAAATTGAGGATTAAAATATATATATTATAAGAATATTATATTATATTTCTTTTGAAAGTTGCAGTTCAAATAAGAATACTTAAAGGTGGGGTAGGTAAGTTTGAGAAACCTGCTCGAGATACACTTTTTGTTATATTCCATGGAATGCTCTTAACATCCCGATAGCAATGAATATCTGAAGAGCTTTGACAAAGAATCCATAAAAAAATGTCATCTCTGGAAGCCGTGGTTCTGTAAAAAGCACGACCAATCATCTGAGCCGGCCCGGCTAAAGTAACTGGATGGCCTACCTGCCTGTCAGCCTTCCATCTGCGCACAAACTTATCTCGTGCCCTCATTGGTCATGTGCTGTTGTCCTGTGTGTTGGAGGAGGGGCTCTGTAAGGAAGTGGCAGATTTTTTCATGCTGTGTATTTTAAAATTCTAGTGCACTCGAGCTGGTTTCTCCAAAAGTACCTACCCCACCTTTAACCCACAAAATGATCCATTGTAAATCAATGACTCACTCCATGTTACTTAGAATGTTCCACACACGACTCCAAAGTGAACAAAGAATCAAAAACAGTGAATATTCTTGATCATTTGAAGTAAAGGGGGACTTGATCAAGGGGGACTTGATCAAGGGGGACTTGTTCAAGGGGGACTTGTTCAAGGGGGACTTGATCAAGGGGGACTTGTTCAAGGGGGACTTGTTCAAGGGGGACTTGTTCAAGGGGGACTTGATCAAGGGGGACTTGTTCAAGGGGGACTTGTTCAAGGGGGACTTGATCAAGGGGGACTTGATCAAGGGGGACTTGTTCAAGGGGGACTTGATCAAGGGGGACTTGTTCAAGGGGGACTTGTTCAAGGGGGACTTGTTCAAGGCAGCCTCAATGTATGAATGCTGACTTTTGTAGCGACTTGAGTATTTGCAAAGACATTTGTGCATAAACAGGCAACCTGAAGTGCCGACTTTCAACTGGATACATGAGACATCGATTATTCTTTATCACTTGTGTTGAGTGTGCAAACAAATGTTTGATATAGTTTCGCTTTTGTTAAAGATGCCCACAGTTTATTTCAATTCAGACTCTTTTACGTGTCTTGATTCTTTATGTACATTAGAGACGTGCAAAAAACGGTTTCTCTCTAAGAATTCATGCAAACATGAGGTGAGTAATTGATATACAAATCGTTTATTTCTGATCAAAACCTGTGTGAATACATATAGAAGTGTACTGATTCTGATCAGCCTCATGTCAGGGAGGCGTACCTGCAGCAGGCAGTGTCCACAGCGCCGCTGTCTCAGGGACTTGGTGGTGGGGGGGATCATGTCCTGCTGCTCCTCAGTCACTCCCAGCGTGAACTGAAACCACACGAGAAAACATTTCAGTTCAAGCATGACCTATCAGAAAAAGCATCCCTTAATATAATTGAGACTCATAAAAGGTGATGAAATCCTTCATTCATATATTTTCAAATATTTTGCCTTTACCAAATATTGTGCTTACTGCTATTTGGACTAGTCCATATTACAATTCTGTTCATATTTTTGTTTAAATGTTCAGCCGTTGTTTGCAAATTATGATTAAGATAATTTACAATTACAACCCCTAAACATGTGTCCCTATCAAACCTTATTTTAACCAGCAACATTTACTGGCTGCCTTTCCCAGTCAAAGCAGCTGCTTCTTTCACTGCTGATACTGAGACTATGTGGGTGGACATACATGTGAGGGTCATAAAGCACCTGCAGGTCTCTGTCCTCAGACAGGATGAAGCCGGGGTCCATGAGGGAAACAGCGAAGTAGAGCAGCACCGAGCCCAGAACCAGCAGCACGAACAGAACCGGCTGGACCAGCTGCCCCGTCTCCTCCTGCCGCCTCAGCTCTACACACATACACACACACACACAACAACACACAATTTACTCAATAAGACACACTGAAGTCCTGCTGACAGATACCAGGCTCATACTCAGACAGGTTTATTGTATAAAGCACGGTTTATAAGTTAATCATTTAACATTAAGTAGCGTTCCTCCTCAGAGTAACGTTATAGTGTTATAAACAGCCTTACCTGTATCATGCAGGAAGAGTATGAGGGTGATGACCCATGTCAGAATCACATGAGCTGTCCTCACCAGGAACCCTGAGCCGAACACATTCTTGAACATGGTGCTAGCATGTTAGAGCCTCCATATCTCAGCAGAGGCCCTGAGTCCTGAGAGCCGTCAGTGTGTAGCGTCATTAGCCATGGCGTTAACATCAACAACTAGCTAACGGTGTTAACGTTCCTGAAACATCGAAGCGTCCTGTCAAAAAGCTAGCGTTAATGTCGCTAACAGCTAACGGCTGTACTGCGACCGCCGGGGGCGCTAACCCGTTTTGTTTCGTGTGACTGAGCCAAACACTGCATTAAATAAATAAGTCGAAAAACACTATTTTAGAATTCTCGCTCTGATGTTTTGTTTTTATCCCTGTGCAGTCACAGCTGTGATTGGCCAGAGACGGTCACGAGACAGTCCAGGATAGGGTGGCCGGGAGGGACAAAAAGCCAGGACTGCGCATGATGATAGGATCCTGACTGTTCTGTGATTTCAAGCAGGAAGCACACTGGTAACTGCTAGTAGTGGGATTTAGTGGTTAATGGATAAAACACACATCAACAGATACAATTATTATTGTCTGTCAGAATATTGGATGTATTGTTAGAATGCCAGAAGCTAAAGCTGCATTTAAACGTATTATCATTCACTATCCTCTAAGGAGGCGACGTATCTTTACACACTTCAAAGCTGATATGGTGCACTATTTTTGCATTACTTTCCTTTTATTTCAAAATGAAATAGTGGATTGTTTTGCTATTGTGACTCAGTATAACTGTTCTGAAGGAAATATTCTCCAACAATTCCATCATTACACAGTAACACTTCTCTCAAACATATCATAAACATTTTTCATTCTTATCCTGAAACAGTTTGAAAATTAACTTTTGGCCTCTGAAGTGAAAATGGTATTTGGACAAATGAATGCACTGAAAAGACAGGGAAAGGATATAGGTTGTATTCTTTTGTATATATTTTTAGAAACATGTAAAAAAAAAAACTCATTGCTCGTCCCTTAATTTTGTTCTATTGGTTTTAAATCCCATGATATGTAGATGTTCCTCAACAAAGAGAGAATGACATGACATGTATGACAGTTTGATTTGATTATCTTCAAATACAGTTAAAAAATGTATTTAAACAATTGTGCATTTTTAGGCTGAATCCATCCCAGTTATCTTCTCCATCCTTCGCCCCAGCTCACTGAATCTCTGCTCCTCTCACACTACTTTACTTTTCACAGAGTTGTTGCTGAGCCCGCAGCTCTTTGGCCTTTTCTTCATCCAGAATGAGCGGAGTTTGCAGCGTCCTCCCTTTCAGCATCTCCAGGCCCTGCAGGAGGAGATGGAGGGTGAACTACACCACTGGATTCAGACTTCACAATGGGGGTGACAGCACTATGTTCAAGCTACCACTTATTTCAAATTTAAAACAATTAAAAAAAGAAATCAACTCTTGTAACTGCAGTTCACCAGTTGAAATCTCTTCAACATGTGTCATGTTTTACATGGATCTGTGGGCAGGTTCATGTCCTTACCTCTCCAAAGTAGGAGACCAGCGGTGAAATCTCCCACTGCGCTGGATCGTCCCCTGCTGATGCACTATGGGAAAAAGAACATGTTTAGATTTCATGGATGGATACAGATTTTCCCAGTCTATCTAATACTACATTCTCAAGCACATATTGGTCGCTGTGAGCATTTCTCCTCTCAAAAGCACTAAAAAGCTGAACATTTATTTAGTTTAGTTAAGAATTGTAGTCCTTTATTCCTTACAGGACGTGATCTCTTTAAAGCCAGATACATCGTCCAATAACAGATCCTTTTCTGTCAAACCAAACAGCACACTGCATACATTCAGCTGCTTATTTTTATTTTTAAACTATCTGAAGATTTGGGAATCCAACTAAATCCTTTAGGTTAGAGTGAAAGTCCTGACACAATGGGTGTTTTATGAACCTTGGAGCAGGGAGGGTGTTCCCGTGTTCATCACACAGAGTGGCTCCTGCAGCGGCCGCCCAGCGCAGGTGCTGAGTCAGCAGAGAGGCCCGGGCCGTGGTGGGGGTGTCTGTAGCAGCTCCGTCTGCGTTCTTCAGGGGGGAGAACTCATCCTCCCTCACAACCTCAAATGCAACGAAGTTCCTTCCAAAAGATAGATGGAGCATATTAAAAATGAACTGTACAGATACTGTTTTATGATTTAATGCTACTTTATGTAGAGTAAAACAACAGATGATAACAGCTAAAGAATATAATAGATTAAAACATGTACCTTGAGAATGGAAAGACATCAAACACAAATTTCTCCATCTTTATGCCATTAGGTTTGATGGGTTTGACTTGATTCCCACATGAGTCCACAAAGGGCACTTTCTTTAATGCGACATGCTGTTTCAGTTGGCCTTCAAACTTCCTGTAAGATGAAAAAAATCGTAGTAAATCAAGAGCATTTACTTTATAGAATGTCACAACAGGGTTTATCCTCTGAGGTCAGGAATTCACAAAGTTGTGTGGTAAAAAATCTGGTTAAATTTTTTGTTGTTTTTTTTAAATTTATAAATAGGGGACAAAAGTGTTATGAAGTGCAAACTTTGTTCTGGCGGGGTCAGAGATTCACTAAAACCTTCAGGAGTAGTCTGCTGGGGGAAATGAAAAATCCACAAAATATGTTTTAGAGTGGCCAGTTGTTAAAGCGTAATTCCAGAGTTGAGTTGTGAAAATATTTGACTTTAGAAGAAGAATTTGGACGGACAGACTGACAGACTCTAATTTATAACAAACCTGTGTATAAAAAAGCCAAGTCACACCTCACTACACAGTGTTTAATCCTCTTTGTTAGAGACCTTTTTTATGGAAGTAAAAACACAACAAAATAAAAATGAGAATTTTGGGTAATATACACAGCTGGTTGTGAG